AAAGTATCTTTGATAATATTCAAAATTAGGTACAATGAAATAAGCTATCTTCAAGTATACAAATAACCATTTATAAAAACTAAATATTTAAAAATCATTTATTTCTGAGGCAATGACAAAAGAAAATTTTGAAAAGCCTGAGCTTATTTACCCTCCCAAATCCAAAGTTACAGCTCGTGACTTGAGAAGCAGTATACACAAATGTACACACACATACAATATAACCACACAACGCCCACAGACACACGGACAACGCCACACCACAGTTTATTTGACGATAAATGAGTCAGTGACAGGTCTACCTTACTTGGTCATAAATATTTGGACAGTTGAAGGAAAATAAAAAACAAACTGTACAATAACCTAAATAGTGACAAATGGCCCAACAGGAAGTATCTGAGAAGTGACACAGTGGCTGAGCTTACATTCCTGCTGTGTAAGGGAAAACTGTAAAATTCAAATATTTGAAAAGCGAAAGAGCAATTATGTTTGTTAATGATTACTATAATTCCCTATTTAATTATGGAAACTGTAACCAAAATATTAACCTACATTCATTATTTTTTCTTTGAATGGCAGTGAGTGGATTTTTAAAAAAAAAAATATGTTGGATTTTAAAACATGGATTATCTGGAAAGATACCGGCAGACATGCAGTCAGGGGACAGTCACCTGCTCAGGCCTGGTGGAGCTGCTCACTGGGGGGCTCTCAGGCGCGCCGTCCAGGGGCTGCTGCTGACAGGGACCTTTGGTTGCGTCTTTGAACATAATGTCTTTTTCCAACAAACTATCTTGCTTGGCAATTGGTAACACCAGGGGACTGCTGCAGGAAAAGAAATCAATACTGTGATTATTCTTTCCTAACATTGTTGTATCACTCAAAAATCAATAGGATAGCTGGACTATAGATGGTTACTCGGTTCAGATAAGAAATAATTTCACTAAACTGTGGGAATTCTGTAGAATTTTTTATCAATTCAAAATTTTATTCATTTTCAATATTAAAAGAAAAAAATGTTAACTTGAACTCCAGAAGAAAATGATTTTACAAATGCGTATCCAACTGTACTAGATAAATCAATATGTGATTCAAAGCTAAGTAAGGTTGAAATGCGTGACTGAGCAAGGCCAGATATTTAAGTGCAAAAATGAGCTGCAAACATGTGCAGAAAGGTGCAAGT